CAGGCCTGATCTCTACTAGCACTAGTAGCAGGTAAATATTTTTTTTTTAGCTGTTCAAGCAGTCACCGACAGCCAGGAGCTTTTTCTCATGAGTCACACTAGGTACATATGAATTTAGTGGCCAAAATGTCCAAAGAAGGTACACTAGTGAAGATGCCTACAAGATTCTGAGTAGGACAGATGAGAGCCAAGCGGAGTCCTCTCTGTCAGAATCAGGCTCAGAATACAAACCTGAAGAAAGCAGTGGCATTACAACAGGCAGCTCAGATAATGGAGAAGAGGTCCCTGTTAAGATCAAGCATATCAAATCCCTATAAAGATAACTGCAAAACACAAAAAACAGAGGGCTCACTAGCTTAGCGCATTACCTCAGCGGTACCTTTATTCATATAAAAAACAGATGTATACTCACAAGCAACATAGAATTAATGGCACATCAATCAATGACTAGGAATGACCTTTGCAACATCCAAAATTGGCTCTGAGTAAGAGGGGATCGCCCCTCGAAATGGGTCAGCCTTTTGGATCACCTTGTTCAGGGAGGGTACCAGGTCATTTCTCTTCATTGATTGATATGCCATTATTTCTATGTCACTTGTGAGTATACACCTGTTTTTTATATGAATAAAGCTACCGCTGAGGTAACACACTAAGCTGGTGATCCCTGTTTCTTGTTTTGCAGTTACCTTTCTGGGTTTCCCGACCTGTTGGAGGGCAGCAAAGCCGGTACCATGACTGGAATACCTGAGGTCATCCACTAAGTTGTCTGCTTACTTGTGTCAATATACTTCTCTTGAGCGCAGATGGTTTTTGTTTTTGTGTACCCAATCCCCAGGTTGCTGAGGTGCTAAAAACAGATTATTCCTAAATGCAGCAGAGTGCCAGTACTAGCACTGCACTACCTTTTGGTGATCTGGCAAGCAACAGCAGACTAGTACATCCTGGCATTTTACACACCAGCACTGCAATATCTCATGGTGATGGGACAACTCCCAGAAGTTGACTAGGTGACTAGCACTTGTAGCGTCCCGCAGCCACCAAGAATTCAAACACAGGCCCGTATAACTCATATTGTCCTTCCAGATATGCTTGCAAATCCTGACTGACAGCCCCCAGATTCAGCAGCACCCATTCACAGCCCAACCAGAAATTCAAGTGGAAACCGTAAATATAACAGCTCTTCTTGATTTTTTTTTTTTTTTAGCTGTTTTTCACAGAATATCTGTATCAAGTGATTGTGGACCAAAGCAATCTATATACCAACCAGTACAACGCTGCTCACCCGAATTCAACTCTTACCAGACCATTCGAGAAGAAAGAAAACAAAAACGTATTTTTCTTTTTTCAAAACCTTGTGACAAAAAATGAGATCTAAAAAGTACTCATCATGCCTCTTATCAAGTACCTTGGAGTGTTTACTTTCCAAAAAGGGGTCATTTGGGGGTGTTTGTATTGTCCTGCCATTTCACGGTCTCCAAAGCTGTGATAGGTAGTCAGGAAATGAAGGTGGTCATTGGTTTTCGGCCCCCATGTGCAGCTATCAAAAAGTCTCAGGCCTATGAGGAAGTCGATCCAATGACGAAACGCGTCAGTAGGATGTGATGTCAGACGCAACCGGAAGCGTTGCAGCGGCAATTTTGGAGATTGGTAGAATCAAGCTGCTTGTACTTCGAAACACATGTACAATTTTACACTGTTAAACTTGAACTTTAACCACTTGAGCTCCTGAGGATTTACCCCCCTTAATGACCAGGCCTTTTTTTGCTGTTTGGCGCTGCACTAATTTAAATGACAATTGCGTGGTCATGCAATGCTGTACCCAAACAAAATTTACGCCCTTTTTTTCACACAAATAGAGCTTTCTTTTGATGGTATTTTATCACCTGTGCGCTTTTTATTTTTTGCGCTATAAACAAAAAAAACACAAAAATTTTGAAAAAAAACCCAATATTTTCTACTTTCAGCTATAAAAAATATATCGTAAACTCAAAGTTAGTCATAAATTTAAGCCAAAATGTATTCTGCTACGTTTTTTGGTAAAAAAAAATCCCGTGCATTAGCGGGAAAACTAGCAGTATCTGGGAGGGGCGCTAACACTGACAGGGCAGTGAAGGGGTTAACTGGGGGGGGAAATCAAGGGGTTAAACGGGATTACTGGTGTACTGGCGGGCAATCTGGCGCTATCTGGGAGGGGCGCTAACACTATCGGAAGTCGCCAGCGACACTGATACAGTGATCAGTAAAAATCGGTTCACTGATCAGTGACACTGGTGACAGGGCAATGAAGGGGTTAACTGGGGGGGGGGCGATCAGGGGGTTAAATGTGTCCTAGAGTGTTCTAACTGTGGGTATGTGCTGTTTTACTCACAATTTGTATGTCGTCTTCTCTGTCTGGAACGGAATGTGTCCAGGCAGAGAAGAATGACATCATATCCTGTCCTGTGTAAATGTCAACACAGGACAGGATAGGACAGGGACCGATCATCTGATTTCAGCCAGACATCACTGGCTGAAATCGAATGATTGATCCCTCCGGGATCAAATGGTGTCACCCGCGGGTCGGCGGGAGCGCCTGCCGGCGAAAACGTCGGGAGCGCGGAGCCCGTTTTAAAATGTGCTTTTGCGCCCCAGTGCCACCCTGCACACGTATATATGCAGTGGCAGGGCGGCAAGTGGTTAAGTAATACTGCACCATGGGAGTGTTTATCTTTCATGATCACTGAGGCACTTTGAAGTGAGGAGGAGATTGGGCACATTGATACATGATTTTGAAAAGGCTATTCACAAGACTCTCTTAGATTGTTAACTCCAAGGAGCTGGGCCCTCCTAACCCTCTTGTATTGAACTGTATTGTTGCTGTATTGTCTCCCGTTATATTGTAAAGTGCTGAGCAAACTGTTGGCACTATATAAATCCTGTATAATAACAATAAAAGACATGCAGGGTACGGTGCATGTCTGAAGGGGAAGGGATCAAGCATGTTGTTTTGGCTTTGTACACAGGTGGTGGATGAAGGACGGACACACGTGTATTGTGGATTTGATTCACAGTCTAAGAGTGAAACACACATTTTCACCCTAAGAGGGTAAGAGTATTTAGGGGAAGAGTGGTGCACACTTTCTGTATATTGCACACAGTTGCACATGTAGCATAATTTGCATAAGAAATACTACAATATATCAGTTTTTTCTTTTCGAGGTTTTGATCAGTGCACTGGAAGATCACGGGAGAGACTTTATTGGATGCAACACATTCTGGCTAAAGAGATCTTGATGGGAAGATTGGAGAACAAAGAAGTGCGCTGTTGCTGGCATATAAGGACCTTTTGTTTACCCAGGGGGGTATTGGACTGATAGCTGCACTTTCGTTTGTGTTGTTTTGTGGCGCTTTATATTTTACATAAATACTTTGATGGGTTTCTACTTTCCAAAAAGGGGTCATTAGGGGGGTGCTTGTACTGCCCTGGCAATTTAGCACCTTAAGAAATGTGATAGGCAGTCAAAAAGTAAGAGTATTAATATACAGTTATTGGGATTTTTTTGCCAAAGACATGTAGCAGAATACATTTTGGCCTAAATGTATGCTGAAATTTGATTTTTATGGATATTTTTTTAGAACAGAAATTAGAAAATACTGGGGTTTTTTATTTCAAAATTTCCAGTCTTTTTTCATTTACTAAAAATAGAAAACCCAGTGGTGATCTAGAACCACCAAAAAAAAGTTTTATAGGTGTGAAAAAAAATTATATAAATTTCATTTGGGTACAGTGCTGCATGACCGCACAAATGACAGTTAAAAGTAGCATAGTGCTGAATAGAAAAACAAAATGCTCTGGTCATGAAGGGGGTAAAACCTTCTGGCGTTGAAGTGGTTAAAGAAAAAAATGGGTGGAATGGTGCAGTACAGCAGTATATAAACCTGAACTACACAGTAGGTAGGCTGCTACCTGTAAGGTTTAATTTACAGTTCACTGGAGGGTACCCTTAGGCCTCTTTCACATAGATGTTCCGATCGGGTCCGCCTGCCTGTTTTTTTTCAGGCGGACCCAATCAGAACCTCTATGGAGCGGTGGGTGTAAACGGACACATTCAATTTGATCCTCAAAAAAGGGACGGATGGGGATCCAATTCCCCTTCCGTCCGTCCGGATGAAAACGGACAGGCAGTCCATTTTCATCCGACCACCCATTGAGGAGAGCGAGCTGCTCTGAGTCCGCTCCGCAGCAGCGGAGCAGACACAGACCTGCCATCTGCTTGCTCAGTAGGGATCAGCGGAGATCCCCCACTGAGCAAGTGGATCTGCTAAACGGGTCCCACCCATTGAAAGGCCCTTTAAACAGGGCATATCTTTATCAGGGTCCCTAATCTACACAGCAAAAGGGCTGATTCTGTTTTCAGTGTGATGCTACAGCAAAACTGAATACATAATACATGCTTGACTACCTAGTGTGCTGAAGAAAGCAGAGACAAAAAAACCAATCTGTTCTTAAACTAATTTATGAAAAGGTAATCAAACAGCAAAAGACAATACAAAGCTTCTCAGTTTATTGAAAGTATTCTCTAAAGTGCAGGCTTTTGTGCATGAATGGTTAGCACAAGGAAGATTTTGAAATGCAGAGTAGCATACTGCGTCCGGTAATATATCTACTCCACAGCAGGTAGAGCTCAAAGCAAGACTGGCCAGTATGCTAAAGTTGTTACATGTGTGTAAACGTTAACACTACAATTAGTGTAAATTACCCAGACATTCCACAAGGAATCAAATGCTGTGAGCGGAGAATGCCCACTCACATGTGCATACTGTACACACATCTTTGGACTGGTAGAAAAAACTATTCTTTCTGGAGGAAACATGTCTCAACAAAGAGTCTTCCTAGAAAACTATAAAGCATCAGTTCTCTGAACTGGGCCTGTTCTTGTGACCATGTAAGGGATGGAAGACCGATAGCATGCAGCTGCAAGTCCATTAACCGTACCCAAAATGTCCTTCATGAATGGTCTTCATTGCACCATTGCTTGAGGGCCTTCAGGAATCAAAGAGGCAAAGAACGTTTTGAAGAAGACCCAGGCAGTGGACATGAATGAGTGTGCCTGAAGGGTGGCGGCTGCAGCCTCATTTAGTGCTTCTTCCGCAGCTTGACCATTTTCCTGTAGAAAAGACAGAAAAAATGGTAAATATATTTCTAGAACATCTCTATGGGCCTCAGCAAAGCACCCTTTTACACTCCGTTAGGTAACATGACATTAGAAATCAACAATATTTCTTCCCATAGAGCAGTGTTTCTCAACTCCAGTCCTCATGGACCCCCAACAGGTCATGTTTTCAGGATTTCCATTATTTTGCACAGGTGATTTGATCAGTTTCACTGCCTTAGTAATTACCACAACTGTTTCATCTGAGGGAAATCCTGAAAACATGACCTGTTGGGGGTCCATGAGGACTGGAGTTGAGAAACACTGCCATAGAGGAAGACAAAAGCACAGCTGACCCTGCTTTTTGAGCACAGGTGTGTGAGCTCTATCCTTGTGTCATGTCCCTCTCAAAAACCTAAGATCCTCTGACCCTTAACAGAATTTAAAAAAATGTGTTCGTTTCTAAAGTCTGTGCAATATACACACTTAAACGATTGTGAAAAGTCTGTGTAACCCCTGGAAGACCTACACCCCTTTTCCTTTCAAAGTGGAAAAAAAAAAAGATCTAAGAATCACATTTATCCCTCACAAATGTGGACATGCATTGTACTTCGCCCACAGATTTCCTGTTGGGGATGTCACAAAAGTAGAGGCACTCTTACACACCTTCTGGGACTGTTCAGTTCTGAAACACTATTCATAAAAGACCTATGGCTTATATAGTCCCAGTTCTCAAGCAATAACACATATGTGAAAAAAATGGAGAGAAGGTTAAAAAAAAAAAAGCGTGTGTGACTGCATCACCTCCTTGACATTAAAGCCGTCAATAGTGGGGATAGGCACAGATTCAGCATGGCTCCCAATTATCTTAGATCATGACAGTGCAAGCCAGACCTCCAGTTAAGGAACACCGTTAGGGCAGGGTTTGTTTTCAGTGACTTAAAAACTGTACTCTGGGCCAGCAGGTTGAAATGATTACTTATTGTGAGAGAATCATCCGGCCCCGTGTGTGCTGCATACAGTAAAAGCCTTGCTCTGTTCCACCCAAGTCCTGCACACTTTTCTTGTGTAGCCTGAATGAAACAGAGTTAGTTACGTAGTACTTCAGCCATTCAGGATTCACCTTGTATTTCTTTTTTTTTTTTATCAATCAATACAAGGAATTCTCAGATTGGCCGAAATGGAGCTTGACATCATCTGCCCTCCTTTCTGCCTTGGCAAATTAAAGAATTGCCTGTATCCACTGATAAAAATACAAGGCGCTTCCTGAATGGCTGATATGCCATATGACCAACTCTGATTCTTTCCAGTCACACAAAGAAAGTGTGTAGGATTTGGCCAGGAACGCAGCACAGCTTTCTGTATACACAAGCTTCTGCACGGTATTACAGCATATACAGCAACCAAAGTGTTCTGCCACAGTAACTATTCATTTCCACAATGACCCAAACCAAAAACATGAAGTTCTGGTTAAATGCTAAACAATTTCTGACATATTCAATGGGATTTTTTGCACAATACAGCTATTGCATGAACATAGGGGATACCAACTCAGTGGCCCACTATCCCCACAAACCAAACTAATACTGAATCTATTACCAGGCCCTCAAGGTCAGCATTATTTAAATATGAAAAGCCAGAAAAACTCACTTGCAAGTTGTTATTTTGATCCTGTTGATTTGCAGCAGCCTGTGGCTGAGCAACTGCAGCATCTTGGGGGTGCCTTTGCCTTTGCCTAAATTGAAGCCATCCAGCTGTGTGCCTACAATAAAAGCATAGGTTTAGCACAGAGCAATGTTTGGTTCACACAATTACCTCTTCCCTGTAGCAGATATACTGCTACAGGGTGGCATGGGTGTGCAAAATCACATAAAATAAATATATATATATATACACGTGACTTAGCATTATTAGGTAGGGGCCATGCCCTACCCGCACCGCCATTCGCGGCTGTCAATCACTGGGTCCCCGCCAGTGATTCACGAGCATCTTTAATGGGGAGGAGAACTGTATGTAAACAATACAGCTCTCCTCCCCGTCAGCTCGTGCACACTGCTTTAGATGACTGTGCACAGCACAGCCATCCAAAGCAGTGTGCTTACAGTGAAACACACGGACACAGCACAGAGTGAAGCGGCGCACAGTTAACCCTTTGATCGCCCCACATGTTAACCCCTTCCTGCCCAGTGCCATTAGTACAGTGTCAATGCTTTTTTTTTTTTAAGCACTGATAACTGTATTGGTGTCAATGGGGATGTCAGTGACACCAAGTCAGTTCCCCCCAGTGTCAGAATGCCCGCCGCAGTCCCACTGATCGCTGCCATTACTAGTAAAAATTAAAAAAAAATCCCAGTATATATTCTGCCATTTGTAAACGCTATAACTTTCACGTAAACCAATTAATTTACACGTACCAGGATTCTCTTTTTAGCAAAGACGTAGCAAAATATATTTTGGCCTAAATTTATTACGAATTTTGATTTTTACTGGACATGTTTAATAGCAAAAAGTCAAAATAGTTTTTTTTTTTCAAAATTGTCACTTTTTTTTATAGCGCAAAATATAAAAAACGCACAGACGATCAAATACCACCGAATGACAGCTCAATTAGTGGGAAAAATAGAGCATAAATTTAATTTGGGTGCAGCGTTCCATGACCGTGCAATTGTCAGTTAAAGTAACACACGCCGTAATGCAAAAAATTGCCTGGTAAGGAAGTAAATCCTCAGGAGGGAAAGTGGTTAAGATGGAATCGAAAGACACACATTTAATGTCAACAGGGACAAAACTATTTTTTCCTTAAAAAGCTTGAATGCTAAAGAGACTGCAGGAGTCTTTGAAGGACTCATCAGCAAGTACTGTACAGGGTAAATGGTGAGCAACCCCAGAATGCAGAGTAGGATAACACTTAAAGTAGAACTAAACTTAATAAACTACAAGAAAGCGTCTCTTTTTTGCAGAAGAGACATGCTATGTTCTCTTCTACAATAACGCCCACCTGTGTGCTCACAATCTTCTATTAAACTGGACAGCTCAGGTTGTATTCCTAGCACATTTCAGCTGTGCCAGAAGGGAGGATTTCAGTGCACCTACGTGAGATGGCGTCACTCCCCGATCAGCCAATCAAGAGGCCGAAAACCTCCCGAAATTAGTCGGGGAGAGGATGACAGCAGAAAGTGAGAACTGCTACAGAGCTGGAACAAGGAGGTATTTCTGTGTGCTCAGTTCCACTTTAAAAAAACTCAGCATAAATAAGTACACCCTTTGCTCCTGAAAATCAAGTCATCTCATTTTTTATTTTCCTCAATCTGTAGACCCAAAATAATGTAAAGCCAAAACATATACAGAGTGTATAAGCACGGCCCTACATTATTATTATTAAATATGGGCAATTTTAATTAGGTCCCAAGCTGATGACCCATCAGATCCCAACACCTTCATATTTTTCAAGTTAGAAATCTTGGTTGCACAACTCCTGCAAAGCCTGTAGTCTAAATAAAAACAGAATTGGGACAGGACATTTTTTTCTGGTTAAAATAAGGAGCAAAGACCTAAACATTGAAGTATATCTAAAGCCAAAATATTTTGATTTTGCAGTTAGTGCCACCTTCATTCGCAGTGTCATTGGCAATCAGCACAGGTAGAGAGATTGACTCTCCCTAGCAGGGATAAAGGTTCTAAACCCTTCACCACTTTATACAAATCTAAAAAAGTTTTGCCTTTAGTTATACTTCATGGTAAAAAAAAAGTCATTAGAGCCTTCACAAGAGATAATTGAATGCATGCCTTCATATACAAACAGGCGTTAACTAAGGCACTTACAGATACATTAGGATCATGGCACCAAGGACCATCATGAAACGGCTCAGGCTGGAGTAGAAATACAATATACTGAGGAAGATTGAAAAGCGTGCAGCAGTGTACACCCAGTCCAACCAGTCTCTGTTCACTTCATCTTCTTCCTCCACCACTCCTCCTTGTGCATTCATACGCAAATTCTGATTGGCTACAGGGTTTACAGGGGCTTGAACTTCAGGGTTGGGAGCCTGGTTGGCAGCAGGAAAAGGATGAGGAAGTGGGTCTGGAGCAGCAGGGGGCACAACAGGAAGTTCCTGTCTTCGTTGAGAGGGAGAAGTGGTGGCAGCAGCTGCAGCATAGCTAGTGGAGGACATAAAGAGTATTATTCATATATTCTATACAAAATGTTTCTAAACTGTCATAAACAAAGAATTATATTGATAAAAGGACCTGTCACTGGCAACAGCAGGTGGTTATTTGAAGATGGACCTGGCAACAAATATTCCTAAAGTCTGCCTAGCACTAATCCACTAACTATCCTATACTAATGGCTAATGAACAACGAGACTGCATTTATCAATCTACTAAAAAAAATGTGACCTGCATGTACAAAATTTTAGTAACAAAAAAAAAAATCTTCATAAGTTCCCCAACCCACCCTGAATGAAGGCTCCTGGCCGTATTATTACCTTTAACCATGATTAAATGACCTTACTGCTGACATGGACCCAACCGACTACCCTTTATTATGCACATTCATTTCAATAGATAACTGTACTCATGGCAGTGTTAGTGGTTGTTTGGAGTATGGCTCTCACCACAAGAACAAACAGGCCACAATGCACATATGGAGAATAATGAGTTGGCCAAGTGTCAGCAGTAAGCTCACTTGATCAGGGAGGTTGGGTTTCATTAACGGACAACTTCATCAAAGGTGATGTTGTTCTTTAAAGTGGACCTATACGCACCTCGGCTCCAGTGATGCAAGGCCTAGAGCTCCCTGCTGGTCACTGTCATCTTCAAGTAACCCTCTTCCGGGTATCGACTGCTGGCTGCTCTCATTGGCTGGATGGGGATGACATCACTCCTGTGCATAAACGGGAGTTCTGTTGGCTTCAGAATTGCGGTCTTTCTTCAGTGAGCTGTGCGTGTGCAGCTCGCTATACAAGGGCAGACAGGCAGGTGGGTAATTTTAATGCAGAAGAGACAAAGCATGCCTCTTCTATATTAAAAATCTTGCCTGTCCGCCCATTTTTGTTTTTCATGTAATGTTCAACTTTAAAGGATTCTGTGGTTTACACACAAATTTCAATATTAATATATGCATTGCTAAGCCTGCAATACCAGATGTACGAGTGGTACAACTGAATTGCAAGGCAGTTACAACTGTTTGCTCACAGACAGGTGGGTGAATCAGAGGATGGATCCTCCTGTGGTATGTGAATTATTTTCTCACATTTCATAATGTACCACCATATTTCACAGTGCTGTAAAAGAGGAAAAAGGGGGTGAACAAAAAAAAAAAAAAAAAAAAAAAAAAAGGGGGGGGGGTGAATAGAAAGGAAAAAAAAAAAAAGACAACGTGTGACCCTAAGTGGAGCCCTGAAACATGGGTGACACCAGTACTACACGGATGGATCCTCCTGTGGTATGTGAATTATTATTTTCTCACATTTCATAAGGTACCACCATATTGCACAGTGCAGAGGAAAAAGGGGGTGAACAGAAAAAAAAAAAAAGGAGAGGGGGTGAATAGAAAGAAAAAAAAAAAGACAAGGTGTGACCCTAAGTGGAGCCCTGAAACATGGGTGACACCAGTACTACACGGATTGCTTATATGCTGCATAATTCAGAGTATAATATAAAATAACTTGACTCATACATGTTTACCGATGACGTATGTTACTCTGACATTCTATACATCCACAAGTGGTTTCATATTACCTAGCAATAGGAAACTTACTATTGCATGTAGTACTGCCGGGCATACATCTGCTGCCACCAAAGAATCTGCTGAGGGCTGTATATAGAGTAGGGAGAGAGGGTTGGACTTGTTGCTTGAGGCCTATAAAGAAATCAGACATCAGTACACTATTCGACATATATAATGATAAATGCACTACATGATTATGTGAGGAATGTCAATTGAACGTGACCATTCATACCTGGGTGTGTTTGCTTGTGCTGGTGGAACATTCTGTAATAAATTCCGCTGTCTAATGCCATCTGTCTGAGAAGCAGCAGGTTGTGTTGTACTGCTTGGCTGTGGCTTGTATTCTGCAGCCTAAAGACAAGATATCCATGTATGTTACTTAAAGGAACCACCCTGTGTTGTGCAATCATTTAGGCACACAGCCTCAACAAATTTCCATAAACATTTATACTCGAAACCCAGAAGAGCATGAACTTTGTGCAAAGCGGGATGAGTACTATGTACAAACCAGATTTTACTGGCCCAGTGTTCTTAATGTGGGTATAGCTCTAGCCAATATGCCAGCAAGTCTAGCATTGGCTTCCTAAAACATCTGAGGCCTTGACAATTCCAATGCAAGCCCTTTGGCTTTGACACAACCACATACTGAGCAAAAGGCCACAGCTGGATTTGCTATAAAAAAGCTACAGGGGCCCCAGGTTGGTCTTACATTTCTGCTGTGGACCGGTTTGTTCGACGATAACTTTGTTATTACTCAAGACAAGGCAATACATACTTTGTTTTTTAAGGACAAAGATATGATATTGTCTTACAACAATGATTTTTCTTCGGAATCCTTAGACAATAAAATCCAACACAATTAAACAAAATGCCTGTTTTTGAGCAGTGTTATCTTAAAAATAAACAGTGTTACTGTGGATAAAATGTGTGCATTTTATTCTGTAATTTGTCCCATTTAAAATGACACTACAATTATGATTCTAGTTCAAAGCATTTCAAAGTTAGTGTTTTTTTCAAAGTTGAGGTTTTTTTTTAAGTGGGAAATGTGTAAAAATATCAAATTAAACAAAAAAATTGAAGTATTAATAGCTAATAAAATAGAAAAAGAAAAAAGAAAAATGAGCAGCAAATCACAATTGAAGAGAGGAGACTAAGGAGGTTATTAGGGCTGATTTTAGTAAATTAACTGTTAGTACTGGGTCAAACAAAGGAACACTTTATTTAAAAAAGAAAATAATAATTTTACTTGTCAGGTTACTTTAACTGACATTTGCAGATCTAAAGTTCATATCTTTGATCTACAGATTATTGAACAGAAAGATGCAAATGTCACAATATGTTGCTTTATATAGTCTGAAGCAGTAATGTCTACAAACACTGATTCAGAAGGCTTTTTTGACAACTAGAGCTACTGACTTCTTTGATCATACTGTAATGCCAGCTGTGATTAATCAACAACAATTACAGTATATGGGGAAGGGGGGGGGGGGGGTGTAGAAGCAGGGCAGAGAAGACTGGACATGCTACACATACCCTGTGTAAAATTAATTTTTTTTTTTCGGCGTGACTAGCATGCCCAAAGCTAGTTAAATAAAATGGCTGAAGGTGAATGAATCAGATCAGCCATTCTCAACCTAGGGTTCCTCCAGAGGTTGCTAGGGGTCAGTTGAACTGTGGCTGATTGACCTTACATCTGATAGTCTATAGAGCAGCAGCGTGACACCAATTGTCTTGTACCTGTTTGTAAAGGGGGCATTCTTCTCACTGACCACCATAGAAAAGGCATTTTTCTCACTAACCCTCAATATATTGGTTTTAGCAGAGGTTCCACCTGAGACTTGAAAATTATTTCATGGTTGCTCCGGGGTAAATAGATTAAGAAAGGCTGCGTTAAGCTGGTCATAGATGGATTGAAATTTGGCCAGTGCCTGCTAAATTTCGAGTTGGTCTTTCCTGTTTGAGAGGAGTCAACCTAGTGTTCAACTCTTCTCAAATGGTAATCTTGGAAAATTTGTGTTCAATCAACACATGCAGCGGTAATCAGTGTATTATGACAGCGGGGAGTCCTGCGCAGTCGGGATGATTCCTTCATCCACCTCAAATGTGTAGATGCAGGGATCTGTTCATTTTTATTTTTTTGATCATCCTCCTGGCTGATCAAAAGAATCCAAATCATCTATGGCTAGCTTTAGAGAAAAAAAGCCTTAAATGTTCCTAAATAAAAGCTCCTGAGTACACAGACAGGAAATGTTTACAGGACATTAGAATATATTACTAGCAAGTCTGGCTTGTACAATGGCTGCCTGTACTCAGCACAGTAAACAGGAACAACACGAGGGAAATGCAAGAACAGCATGACCTTCAACCCTCACTGTACACACTTCCTGTAGTACACAGGTGTCAAACTGGTGGCCCTCCAGCTGTTGCCAAACTACAAGTCCCATGAGGCATTGCAAAATTGACAGTTACAAGCATGACTCCTAAAGGTAGAGGCATGATGGGACTTGTAGCTTTGCAACAGCTAGAGGGCCGCCAGTTTGACACCCCTGCTGTAGTAGATAAAACAAAGCTTTCATGTTCTAAATCTATCTGACTGGTACTGCAGAAAATCATACCTGGCTCCTCATAGAGAACACAAGGTGCAACACGTGTCTGTTCTCCTGGAATGCAAAAAATATGTTTACATTAAAGCATGTCAATACCAGCAAAGCTTATCACAAAATGCTGTTTATTTAATCATTAACAATAAGCTGTGCTGCAATATTTACCTTGGAAAGAACCTCACTGAGTTTCAGATTGTCAGGGAGAAGTTTTCCTGAGTAGATCAGCCTCTGGTCTTGTTCCATCTGCACAACACAAAGCATGAGATCAGTATAGTTCCAGAAGGCTTTAATACAGAGGAATGTGCAACTGGGAGGCCGGGCAGAGGGGAGCAACATCTGTACATGACACAGCTGTATGACTGAAAGCAAACTGTTAACTAGCTCATCACCAACTTCAGACCACTGCAACCCAAGAAAACCAAAATCAGAAGGCTTTTATTTATGATCAAAAGACACGTTTTACCTTTCAAAACAAGGTAGCAGAGCATTTTATTAAGTGGCGTTAAAGGGCTCATTTACACAAGTGTTAAAAACACTGCGTACAGGTCAGTACAGCATAGAGATTTCTACACATCTGTACACAACTGTAAAAACAATCTGGCACAGCAACACCCAGGGCTGTAATGTTAGCATTATGGCTTAGGGCTCATGTACACGGCAGCTGATAAACTCACGTTTAGGAGCTTTTCTGCGTTTTTTTTTTTCAGCAGCCCTGAACTCTCCCTAATGTTTTCCTATGTGTCCATGTACACATCTTTGTTTACAGGCATTTGAGTTTACAGCCTTTTTTTGAACGCAGAAAACTTGCGTTCAGCAGTCGATTTTATCAGCGGTCTAA